AGCATTATAATAGTATATGTTAGAAACAACGCAGCAACAATCAATTTTCGATGAATATCATGTATATCTACCTTATTAATATAATATATTAACAATTCAGTAACGCCATAATTGCATTTCAATTTTTTAACTAAATATTATAATGAATTATAGTAAACAATAAGTTCATTTGATAAGGTATGATACAAAATTTAATAATGAGAATGTTTATATTTATCTTTTCCAAAATTCATTATTAGAAGTTTTAAATTACTTTCGCAAAAAATATAGAGAAATGTTACTTCTAAAATATATTTACGATGAATAAATAGAATATCATTAACGAGTTCGCAGACTGCACCCAGAGAAAGTATGGAAAATGATATACTATAAAAAGTATTGTTAAATAATAAATTTTAATAATAGTTACTACCACTTTATATAAAGTATTAATCACTGATATGAAATGTTATTCAATTACTCTGAAGTTTAAGTACTTGAAAGCATTAGCTACTAGTCATAAAACTACTTACCAAGGGTAATTTCATACTGACGAACTAGTAATATCTTCCTGAAAGATTTAATCACTGAAATATTAAACGCTAAAATATTTACAATTACTACGAGTTCTGTAATACAACCGTTAGCATTAGCAGTACTTTTATTATTCAAAATAAGTAATTAATCACTGACTTACCAATGTTAAATTTCTAAAGAGAACCGCGTGAGTCCTATATTATTTCACCTTGTAAGACTCGGTTACCGAACCTTTATCGCTACCGGCGTCCCGTGGCAATGAACCACACATGCATATACAAGAAAAGCATACGTGAGAGATTTAATGAAAAGGCGAAACAAAGGTCGAATACTAAATCGAGAATCTCACCGTGCTAGGTCGTAGCGAGAGAGCCGACATATTCACAGTCGGTTCGCCGAGCTTTAATCTTACATTATATGACGAGCTTTCGAGCTCCTCCTTACTCTACCTAGTAATAAAAAGAGACCTGCACTTGCAGTTTCACTTTTCTATTATTTCGATATCATAATCAATTTCGAAATTATATATCTAACAAAGCCAGATCGAAAAAGTGATGCCACTGGTCCATAAGCCATGTACCCCATTTCTGGGCAGTGAAAAATGTACTTAAAATGGGCACCAAATTAAAGACCTTGATGAGCTGATTACAAAGATATAAGTTTTAGAATCGTCCAGTGTACCGTTCCAACACTACGATCCAAAAAGGTGCTAAATTTTAGGCTATTTTCAAATTGATTTCTTTAGAAAAACTTAACGGATTTTAAAAATTCCAAATGCTACATTTAATAAAATTAAATAAAGAATGGTATAAATGGTATAATGGTATAAATTCCATGTTCCAAACTAACCGGAAGTAAAAAATTTCAATTGGAACATCAATTTCCAGTTGATTTTGGAACATGAAGTGCATAGGAAAATACACCTTAACCTCAAACACATTAGAAATACTCAAATTGTTTTTGCTTAAAAGCTGAATCAAACAAAGTTCAACTTTTGAAATGATTCAGAAGTAAATTCATTGCGCTTTCGGTTGAACCAATGAAATTTCAGTATTTACTTATACTTTACAACCAATTACTTTTCCTCCATTCATTTACATTTGTTTATGTTGTTTCATTTAACTTTATTATATATAGCATTTTGAATTTTTAAAATACGTACAGTTTTGCTAAAGAAACAAAGAAAGTAGCCTAAAATTTGGAACTTTTTTGGACCTTAATGTTAGAACGGAACTGCGCGGCTCTAAAATTTATATTTTTGTAATCAGCTCATCAGAACCTTTATTTTGGCACTTATTTTAAGTACATTTTTCTAGCAAAAAAAATTTCTACTGTCTGGTAGAAATGGGGTATATGTTGGCGTCACTTTTTAGTAATAAAGATAAGGTCCTCGTTGCTTGTTTATGCTCCTTAACTCGCGAAAGAAAAATACTTGTTTTAAATTATCTAAAAGATATCTCGATATAGTTATTACTTAACTAAAAATATACACTCCGATTAATTCATAGAGTGATTAATTATAGTACAATACAATATTTCTAACATATTTTCTACTTTACAATAATCTCGATATTGCAGCCTAATTTTTCAGATTACACAGTTGTACTTTATAAAAAAGCTATTCGCTTAAGAGTTAGAAATAATCAGGGTTGGGAAGTAACGCGTTACTTGTAACGACGTTACTATTTCGTTACTTTTTTTTGGTAACAATTTGGTAACGCCGTTACTTTTTTGTATCAGTAATGAAAAAGTAACGGCATTACATTTTCTTTAGTAACGAGTAACGAGATTCATCGTTACTTGTATCGTTACTTTTTTACTATAGTGACTTCTGTACACAGAACGCGGCAACGCTTGCCACGCGACGAAAGTTTGCACACGATAAACAATTAATGCTGCTTTCCGTAAAGCCCATTCTACAATAAGCAATAAATCTTAAGACATAGTAAAATTGACCAATCATAGTCGACTATTAGAAGAATAATCTACTGTAATTTATTGCAACTTAAAACTTATTGCTTATTGTAGAAAGCTTATTGTAGTCTTTAAAGCGTGGCCTACAATGAGAACTTAAGCCATAAAATTTAAGCTTTAAGCTCTAAACCGTAAGAAATTGATCAGTCACAGTCAATTATTTTTCTTATAATTGACTGTGATTGATCAACTTCTTACGGCTTAGGACTTAAAGCTTAAACTTTATGGCTTAAGTTCTCATTGTAGACCACGCTTAAGGGGCGCCGCACACGAATTGACATAACAGTAACGTACCATAAGAACTGACCAATCACTTTAAGTATCGTCGAACCGTAAGATCGCCATTTTTGTGAATACTCGATTGTAATTGGTCCATTTTTACGGTACGTCTTACGTTACTGTTATATCAATTCGTGTGCGGCGCCCTTAAAACTCATTTTACATTACTCGCAATCGCAAAATCGCAAAGAAATTGACCAATCATAATTGATTATTCTTCGATCGCAAGAAGAACAATCGACTATGATTAGTCAATTTCTTTGCGACCTTGCGATTTGCGACTAATGTAGAATGGGCTTTATGTCGTTATGCAAGAATGTATGCTTTCTGCTTAAATATCTTACATTTTGTCTTTATATATGTATAATTTATCTACTGTTTCTCTTACTATTCGTTTTATAAGCCGATTTTAACTTTTTTTTTTTACAAAAGTAACGGAAAGTAACGATTTTTTTATCGTTACTTTTCAAATAACGGTAACGCGTTACTTTTTAGAATCAGTAACGAATAACGGTAACAAGTTATTTTTTACCGCAAGTAACGATAACGGTAATGCGTTCCTTTAAAAAGTAACGTTCCCAACCCTGGAAATAATGTTATGAAAACTGTGGACAGACACGAGCTGCCTTAATGCAGCATTAAATTAGCGCAATACAGGAGCGACACACTCAAGTTGCACACAGCAGAATAAGACAATTAGAAGTTGACACAATTTAAGAAGCTAAATTAAATTAAATTAAAGAAAGTTATTAGGTCAAAGAAGAAGAAATGTATTGTCTGAATTATCTTCGTTATAAATACATAAGTTATGAAATGTATACATCAAGCTATATATAGTAATAAATTTACAACTATATTAAACTGCATTAAAATCTAATTTACTTAATGGTTTAAAACTTGCTCTTCTCTATTCGTGCGCAATAAGTAGAGAATTTGTAATTGAAAATTACTAGTTTTTTTTTTAATTTACTATAATCTTTATTAGAAGTAACAAAATACTTATTAAACAGGTAGGCATATCTTTTCTGGTATATGCCAAGGCCAGGAAAGTTTTTTTCAAACGTAACTTTTCTAACATTGATGGAAGATCCAAAAACAATTATACGAAAATTACACGATAATAAAGCGCTGCGATCGAACACATCGATCTTAACGCATTGCTATCGAGGGCATCGACCGAATGTATGGCATCGGAAATGTTCGTACTCAGTGGATACTATATATAATGCAGACCGCGTCGAATCCGTATGATAACACCTGATAGGGGAAAATCTCCAATACGGTTATATATGCGACATATATAGCGGCATATATGCTGCTATTAATATCTATTTTGAGTTTGCGGTTAGGAGATAGTCCTAAAACGACACATCGATATATGTGCCTTTCTCCATATATTCAACACACGTAAGCGACGACCTAGACATCATTTTGACAACAAACAGCGTGATTCCAAATGTAACTCGCTGTTTCGCATATGAATGTTTAATTTGTATTCTACATATATGCGACAGAACCAATGTACATTTACATTGATGACTGTATCACATCAACGAAAAAATAAAGACGTTCATAATTGTACATATATTAACAAGCGTCTTCACGCATGCACATACAAACATATAATTGTTGTTTTCCTGTGATATAACACTCTCAAAAATGTAAAGAAAAATGAAATAGACAATTGTTCCTTATTGTACTGTCCAATATTCTTGCACGACACGTGTAGTTCTGTGCATCACCGCATAAAGTTACAATCTCGTTAAATACGTTAAATTTAGAAAGCGGCCGACAAGCGCTTTATTCTGTGACTACATTTTTTGTGAGCTCTTACTTCTCTCGACCAGATCATCACATTGAATTGTAATAACACACACCACACACACACACATACACACATACAAATTTATAAAATAAAAATAATTATATAATCTAATTAAATAATAATAATTATATAATCTAATTAAGTAAAAATAATTACGTAGTAAAGTTTAATAACTACCATTATTGATTTATATAAAAAAAAGAAATGTTGAAATAAACTGCGATAATATTGGATTGCAAATACATAAGTACTATCTCTTACAAGTCTCCAAATATTTAAAAAGAAATAATTTAAAATCTTCTATGACCACTTTTAAAACGACTACATTCCTTGAGAAAAAAGCACTAAAGACACTTCTCGATAAACACAGCGGAAAGAGTGAAGAAATCTCAGGATAGATACTCACTTCTTCGAACCCATGATGGTACCGTATCGCGACATACGTGTGTACACAATTTTTCACTCGCTTACGTGCAAAATCAACTCGCGAACGAAAGGCACGTGCGCTCGCTCACTCGCTCGCTCGCTCGCGATTGCTAACTCGCCGCCTCGTCGCCCCTCCGTTATGTTCTGCTTTGTTCTGTTTTCTGTATTCGCGTGTAACCGCGTGCGCGCCAACGTACTTACAAAAAAACTCGGTTGCCCGGCGCTTACTCACACGACGGGCTGAGATCTGCGCACCGCTAGATGGGGGTGTACGCGGCATGAGAACAAGAGGTCGCAACTGATGATGATGATGCCAGCTGGCAGCGCTCGACGGACGACGAAATTCTCGTTTTAAAGCCACCGTCATCGGCCGTCTTTTTCCCGCCGCCTTTTATCTGGCTCATTGTTGAAAGTTGGGTCAACAAACCGCGTGCACGGGATACGGCACGGGTCGCGTCGCCGCATGAGAGACTAATCAGCTCAACGGCCGAGCGGCTATCACTTTTCCTCGCGCGGCACACACCACAGACGTCTATTAGCCACGTTTATTCCACAGCACGGCTCGTGTCTGTTTACGGCTACACGCATGTGCGGCGAGATCGAAATTCACGATGAAATCCGTTATGACTCGTGGGTTCGCGTGCCCGCACACCAGCCATCCGTCGCGCGCGTGATCGACGAATTATCAGGGAATACCTTGAACTTCAGTCAGCACTCGATTGACGAGGATCTGAATGGTCACGAACGACGCCTTACATCGTGACTGTCCATCGCGGCCAATCTCTTTATTGCAGGAACGAAAGTTCAGCGCGTTAATTTGTGGCAATATTATAAATGATTATAAAATCATCATAAACAATTACGTGTCGTTCGATTCGCTCGATCGTTTTACGATAAATACTGTAGATTTCGCTCATAGCACTCGCGCGCTTCTCACCGAAGTTGCTTTGTCGCTAAGTTTAGATATGGTATTTCAGTCCGTGAATCCATTTTCATAGTAATATTTTTAAACTCTAACAGCACATTAATGGAAACACGACCTATATACATGCACAATTAGAAAAACGTGGACCGTACTGAAGCCAGTACGAGGTCAAAATTAGCACTATTTACATGTCGCATGTACAAAAATTGCTTCTGATATCACGTTTTTAATTCTAGTAATCAAACTACTCTTTTAGAGTTTTAATGAAAAACTAGAGGACAATAAAAGAGAGATCTTTAGAGAAATACTACAAGAAATTAGAGATAATTTACCGTCTAGCTTTCGAGAAATTGATATATAAAGTTTCTGATAGCGACTGAAGTATGTGATATAACTAGTTTTTAAAAAAGCCTCAGCCCGTCGTGTGAGTAAACGCCGGGCGACCGAGTTTTTTCGTAAGTACGTTGAACGCGCACGCGATTACACGCGAATGCAGAAAACAGAACAAAGCAGAACATAGCAGAGGGGCAACAAGGCGGCGAGTATGCAATCGCGAGCGAGCAAGCGAGCACATGTGCCTTTTATTCGCGAGTCCATTGATTTTTGTATGTAAGCGAGTGAAACATTGCGTATGTCGCGATACGATGTTATCTAGTAATATTGTATGCACTATATTTATATATATTGCACTATATTTTCCTTTGTGTCTTTTAGTTAGATATCTTTTTGAAGATGAAATGGTTAAATAACTTTAGAGATCTATGATCAATCCTTAACGATACGAAAAATACGTTAAAATACGAAAAAACGGATGTCACGATTATTTAGTAACGTGTGTTTATGTACGTTTATCAGCTATGATATATTTATAAACATATGCCTATAACGGGCAGAGTCAAAAGTATTATATACTAGAAGACGAGAAACAATTGTTTTCTTAATGGATTTTTAAATATTATGAGAATTTTTTTATTGATATTTTTTTAAGATAATGTCAAAACTGCATCGGAATATATCATATCATAAATCATACTTATAAACATTTACAGATTTGACGAACTTCCTTGTATTAATCATTATCTTTTTAAAAGTATTGTTACGAACCAATTACTATAGATATTTGAAGCATTCGAATTCAAATCGAATCGAATTATTGCGGGCTTAATTCGAGTTCATTTTCGAGTAAAAAATGTGCGAATTGGAATAATTTAACAATTTCGAATTATAACCGGTTTGATTTCGAATCAATCTCTTCTTTCGGGTAATTTCATTCATGTTTCTCACCCGACCGACCTATATTATGCATTCATATCTTCGCGCATATGTTATATGTGTTACATAAGAATAATGGTTATATTCAGCAGAAAAAATGCTTTGCGCTGCGCTGTCAGCAACTTTGTAACTGTTCGTAATTTTCTGCTGAATGACACTTAACGGTTTATACTTTTCCAACATGTTTACTTACCCAAGTAATGTCAGTCATGAAAATGTCAAGATGACATCATTCTCTGAATGATCCACTATTCATAAATCATTGTGATATCAATATCATTGATATCAAGATGGCCCATCAGCAACATCAATTCAACATTATCAAGATGATATAAAAATGACCTTATTATACAAAGTAGTTAATATAAGATACATTAGAAGCGCAGACTAAAGTAATATTAAATGAACTTAATGGAGAAAGAAAAGGAAGGGAAGAGGAAAAGAGAAAGGCAGAGAGAGAGAGAGAGAGAGAGAGAGAGAGAGAGAGAGAGAGAAAGGACAGCATGACAGGAAGTGTAGTGCATGAATAATTTTTCATTATTACATAGAAATATGTCGTATAACAATGATCCGTTCCAATATTACGGTCCAAAACGGTTTAAAATTTTAGGCTACTATTTTCTACTGAATCATTTCAAAAATTGAATTTTGTTTAATCTAGCTTTTAAAATAGTTAAGCAAAAACAATTTGAATATTTCTAATGTTTTTGAATAGGTTAAAGTGCATTTTCCTATGCACTTTATGTTTCAAAATCAACCGAAAATTGATGTTCCAATTGAAATTTTCTACTTCCGGTCAGTTTGGAACATTCATTCGTCGTCTAACGTTATATGAAATGTCGAAATTTGCAAGAAATAAACTTATGCGTGTCAAGACAAAAATAACAATTTTGTTAAATAAATAATTAACCAAATAAATAAATATATATATATATATATATATATTTACAAGCATTTATAACATTTATAACAAAAAAATATATATACAAACATTTATAACATAATATATTTAACTTATTTAATAAATATGTAATGTCAGTCAGAGTTATGAAATTTATTTTAATAAATAAATATAACCTGAATTCTGTTATATATATGAACTAAGTGAGAGTTAAATATATCATGTAAAAAAATTTATGAAATATTCATCTATTGTTAGTAGTCACATATTAAAATTATTACTTTCATTATCTTTGCACACGTCTATTTCTTGCAAATGTTGACATTTCATATACGTTAAACCCTTATAGAAATATCATATTAAGAATCATTGATAATTACTTATTATCCAGTATTTTTAATACTGAAAATAAGTAATTATCAATGATTCTTAGTATGATATTTCTATAAGGGAAGACCATACTAAAACCATTTCCAACTGATACCCTATAAAAATCCGCGATGCGAACTAGCTTCTTATTCACCACTTCACTTCGACTCTACTTTGACTCTACTTCGACTCTACTTCGACTCTACTTTGACTACTTCGACTTCGACTAATTCTACTTCTTATCCGTTACTTACTTGGCATCGAACACTATCACATACATTCGAGTATTTCTATTCGTATACAAGGGCTTTTGCCACGTCCGAGTGATATATCCGTCTTTCTTTCCTCCGCGCAAATTTTCTATATTTTCGCGAGTCTTGTGGGAAACTTATCCCAATCGAGTCAGTGCAACCGCGCCAAACTTAGAGGGTCTCCTGGAGTCTCACCGCCCACGAACCGGCCGAAGCCATCGGGTGTCTACAAGCCACATTTTGATACAAAAATTTTCCACCGAAAGTACCACCGTTAAAGACTTGAGATGCAAGATAGTATTGTGTGTTACTCAAGACAAAATCTAAAAGCATAAAATATTGTTTTGAAATGACAAGTCAATCATTCTACTAAAGCTAATAACTTCAATAATTATCCTAAGTAAAATAATCATTGATTCTCTTTCTGTTTACGTTGTTTATATATTCAATGGCCTTTAGGGTCTTCACACACAAATTACCCTAGGCGTAACGTACCGTAAAAATTGGTCAATTGCAATTCTCGAAGAGAGTAACCTTACAGTTCAAAAATACTTAACGTAATTCTTACAATACGTCTTACGTTACGACTACGACAACTTGTGTGTAAATGCCTTTAATGCTACAGTTTTTGTTCATAGCCAATTATATATATATATATATATATATATATATATATATATATATATATATATATATATATAT